TGTCCACAGGACACGCCCACTGGTAGCCTGCGGGTGGCTGTGGCCTCACCTCTTCCTCAGTGAACTGAGACCCGAAGAAAGGAGTGCCAGGGTGCCCCAAGTGTCTGCTGAAGTCAGAACATGTAATGCTTAGAGGAGACAAGATAGACAAACCTACCCTGGAACGCAGAACATTAAATATGGCTCCACCTGTATAAGTTAATTACACAAGCTTATCGATCACACAGAATCCCAGCAACTGACATTAGTAAGCGATTTGGGATCCAAACCCAGAGCAAAAAGGACATGATGCCAGTACTGTTTGGTGCTCAGATGTGGGGATGGGGCGCCACTGCCCCAGTGCTGGGCATTCAGTTACGGCAGGGGCCGCAGTGCCCTCGTGCCAAGCTCTTCCCAGCCCCCGGGAAGCTGGTTCCACGTGTAACTTGCGGGTCCCGTGTGGCCAGAGGGATGGTCCGTGGGACGTGTAGGTGCACCTCCCGTGAGTAGCGTGGCGGGCCCAGAAGTCCAGCTGCTCGGCGAGGTGATGGGTGGGAGGCGGTCACTGTTCCTGTGAGCGTTGGTTCCTTGGCCTTCGGCGAAGATGGACACGGTTGGCTAGCGGAAAGGGCGTGCTTTGGCTGGCACTTCGTCCCCTTGGCACGGGGCGACTGGTTTCGAGAGGGGAGGGGCGCACAGTGGTGGTCAGCGTTCAGCTGCCCTCCCGGGCTGAGGAGAGAGCCGCCCACCAAGCTGAGCCTCTTCCCAGAGCTCCCACTTTTCCTTTGAAGCCCTGACTGTGCTCCCTGGTCCTGGCCAAGGCCGGGTACGTCCGACCTGTCTTCACGTCTCTCCCCAGCCCTACTTCCCTTCTCCCGCACAGGTGCCCACTTCATATGTTCCCCTGCGTGGGCCTCTCCAATCAACAGGCCCAGAAATAAACTGGCCTTGCCCACAAAACCCGCTCTGCCCGTAGCTCCCAGATCTTAGGCAAAACCCTGCAATCCTGTTCAACGCCTCTCCCTCGCACCCCACCAAGGGCACCAGCGAGTCCTACGGACCCCGCAAACATTCCGTATCTACCTCTCCCGCTGCCTCCCTGGGCCAAGGCGGCATCTTTTGTCTGGGCTCCTAACTCACTGGCCTCGCTGTTCCCACTGCCGCCCCCTGTAGAGCCGTCCCTCTGTTTCCTCAGAGGATGATTCCAGGATGGCGCCCCCAGCTCCACCAGAAGCCCACACCGGAGGATGCTGGCGCCCCTTCTGTGAGTGGTGTCTGCAGGGTGTGCCTACACATCATTGGCATGGATTCAGTGTACTGCTCAGTGCAGCAAATTCAAGTTTTGCTTTTTGGAACATTCTGAGATTCGACACTCCCCCCCCCTCCCCCCGCCCAGTATTTTCCATCTGAGGTTGGCTGAATCCATGGGTTCAGAGGGCTGACTGTATTCATTTCCCTATTCAGTAGCCGGCGATCCTTTAGAAATATCAAGTCACTCTTATGTTTCAACCCTCCCCATGTTCCCTCTTCCCACCCCCAAATCTCGGAAAGAACCCAAGTGCTGGCCCTCCGTGACTGGCCCCCTCCTCCTTCCTCCACGTCCACACTCCCCCGCCACCCGCGCCTCCCGCTGCTGTCAGAGCCTCTGAGCAGGCCTCTGCTAGTCCCTCTGCTGGGTGTCCTTCCCGGGAGGGTGAGGAGGGGGCTCCACAAGGCTTCCCCGGCCCCCCTACTGAACTGCCCACCTTACTGCCCGTCTTCCCTGCCCGGTTCGCCTCCACAGGACTTATCACCATGCAGCAGGCTGGACTTCCCCTCCGCTCTCTCTCTTATCTCACGGGATCTGCTGTCAAGGCATTTTGTGTGTTGTGTTTACTACTGTGTTCCCAGCACCCAAGGCAGGACTTGCCACTGGCAGGTGTGGTAAAGACTAAGCGAACGAGTGAACTGTGGGCCTTTGCCTGTTGGGCTCAAACTTGTGTGGCTGGACCTGCCCAGCCCGCCCCCCACTAAGAGGACTGTGGGTGGACCCTGCCCCCCCACCCCGCCACACACACACACACACACACACACACACTTATTCTAAGTGTGACCTTGGGCAGACGGCTTAGTGCCAGATGCCTTTGAGGTGACAAGTGATGGTGTGTGTGTGAGCTCTTGACTCCGTGCTGGCCGGCAAAGTGGCTGCTTAACACCGTTCAGCCACTGCTGCCCTCAGCGCCATCATCTCCCAGCCCTGCCCTGTGCCCCTGAGGCCAACACTGGCCCAGCCCCGCTGGGCTCATGCTTTATGTGCAGTGTCTTGTCTAAGACATGGGTCCCACCGGCTCCATTTTGCAAGTGAGGACGCAGACCTGGGGAGGCTGTCACTGCCCCAAGGTTGCAGGGACCCACCCAGAGCCCACTTCACCCAACAACTCACCACCTTCCCTGCCTGACAACCTCGTGCTTGCCATGAACCTCACCTCACCAAGCCTGCCTTGGGAGTCGGGGCAGGGTGGGCGGGGACTGCTCAGGAGGCCCAGCACCCCGCAGAGCCACCCCATTTCCGCACCCATGGGTGCTACCGCTTGGCCCTCACCACGGCTCCTCCAGCCCGGGCTCCCACCTTTTCCCAGGGGATGGGGCCCTCTGGCCAGTGAGGCCACCACCCTGCACCAGGGCAGCTGTACCTTCTCCCAGGTCCGCCCTAGGCTTCCGTGGCGGCCACGTCCCCATTTACATAATCGGGCTCTCCATCTTCGTCCTCATCGGGGATTCCCGCAGGGGAGAGAGGTGCTTCTCTTGGGACTTGCCCTGTGGACCGGCAGGCGGACTGTCAGTGGTTCACATGGGCACACCCAGACCTGTTCCTGGAGCCAGAACGCCCACCCAGGGCTCGAGTCCCCCGAAGCCACACGCAGCCTGAAGGAAAGGCTGCCCTGGACGAGTGTCTGTCCTGGTTCTGGGATTTGCCAGATTTTTGTTTGTCTGCCCGGGAAGCAGAGTCAGTGGGGCTCCATCCACGCAGGTGATGGCAGTCTGCGCAGGAGGCCCCGACCTCAGGGGGCCGTGGTGAAGGCCAGTGCAGCCGCCAATGTGCTGCCGCCTTCAGCTTCTCTGAAATTAGCTGACCTGCTGCAAGGGAGTACCCCGCCCCCCCAGCCTGGCCCTCTCAGGCCAGACCCCCCTGACTCGCACTACCCTTCGCTCCATCCTCCCCGGCCAGACCCCCTAACTCCCACTACCCTTCCTCCCACCCTCCCCGGCCAGGCCCCCCCTAACTCCCACTACCCTTTCCCCCATCCTCCCTGGCCAGGCCCCCCTGACTCCCACTACCCTTTCCCCCACCCTCCCCGGCCAGGCCCCCCCTAACTCCCACTACCCTTTCCCCCATCCTCCCTGGCCAGGCCCCCCTGACTCCCACTACCCTTTCCCCCATCCTCCCCGGCCAGGCCCCCCTGAGCCCGCCTGAAGCTGTCCACTCAGGAGCCCCTGCTCTCTGGCCACATACCTACGACCTTTCTGGACTCCCGCCACTTCTGGATGGAAGCAGAGTTCTGATAATCCTCATCTCCTGCAGGGAGAGAACCGGGAAGAGGGCCTGCAGGGAGGAAGGGGAAGCCACTACGACTGGTCCTCAGGCCATCGAGCTGCCACGGTCCCTCCAGAGAGGCCTCTCGTGCCCTTGTGTGGGCAGCCCCTCGGGTTGGAAGGGCTCCCCATAGAGCATGCCCACTGAGGCCCAGGATGATGGGGCCTCCTCCCAGGACAGGGGGCAGTGCTTGACCCAAAGGCATTGGAGGTGTCCGTGAACTTTCGGGTTTCAAGGAGGGCTGTGCCTCTGTGGGAACTTCAGATCTCACCAGTCCCGGCCCAGCTCCGGGCTGGTAGCCTCACCTGAGTCGGGCTCTTTCTGCTTGCAGATGAGCACGTTCTCATAGGAATTAGCATCCTCGTCATCTGCTGCGGAGAAGGAAGAGGGGAGAGGAGAGAAGGGAGAGGGGGTAGGAGAGAGAGGAGAGGGGACAGGGGACAGGGGAGAGGGGAGAGAGGAGAGGGGAGCGGGGAGAGGACTTCGTTATAGTGGGCCCTGTCCATCAAGCCTGGCTCTTCCTCTCTCCTTCTACCCCGCCCTCCTGCGGCAGATGACCTGTCCTGCTAAGCCCCCGGTCTTCTGGGTCCCCCAGGGCCTCGAACATTTTCTTAGACAAGCTTCTTAATGCGCACTGGCCTGGCTCAGCAGCTGCCACTCTGAGCTCCTCCTCTGTCCTCCAAGGTTACCCCTGAATGCACTGGGGAGGGGAGGTCAGGGGATGGGCTGCATTCAGGCCCAGGATGGATATTTGGATGGAGGAAGGCCCATCTCTATCAGGCAGTGAGAGCCACTGGGGGCCCAGGGGGACAGCAGCCAGGTCGAAGCTTACCTGGAAGCAGACCCTTCAGTTCAGTGGGGTCTTTGTCCAGGGGCTTGGGCTGCGTGTGGCATACAGAGCATGCCCCCCCTTCCAACTGGAAGCTGAGCTCTAACAACTCACCCACCATCCATTTACATCAGAAGGGCTCTGAGAAATGAGGCCCCACCCCAATTTGGAAGCTGCAGGGGGATGAAGAGGACCCACTCCCTGCCCAGCGGTGCCTCACTCCCCACCCCAGCATGGCCCGGGCAGGAGCACTGCCTGCCCTCGGTCCTCAGTTTCTCTTTCTGTAAAGCAAGGGTGTTGAGGGCCTAGAGTTGCAGCATCCGTCAGCCAGTCTGCCCCATCCTGGGCCGTCCTCTGAGGCCCCATATGTGCCCAGCCCGGGATGGGATCTGGATGACGAGGGACCCGGCAATCCCTCTCTTGCTTGCTCGCTCCTGTGGCCCACCCCTGACTCCCACACATCTCTTCTCTCCTCTGCACCTGGGCTCCTGCCCGGGGTGCCAGCTCCCTCATCTGCCCCTCACTCCCCAATCGATCCAAACCAAGGCTCAGGCTCCTCCTCCGAGTCCTCCCAAATGCCTCGGTCCCACCATGCTTCTCCTCCCTATGCCCCTCCTTCCTCTCTGCCTCACCTTCCTGCTGCTTCTGGGACCGCTCCCAGTTGAAATACTCCATGATGGGGTCTCTGGCAAGAAAACACAAACACAACACCAGTGGCTGGGCAGGCCCGTGTTGGGGGGGGTGGGGGCGGGAGCTTCATGGGAGAGGGGTGCAGTGAGGCAAGGACTGCTCCAGCCATCACTCCCCAGGGGCCCATGGGGGCTGGGCCAGGGTCTCCCCCATCCCCCCATCGTACTTCCCTGGACCCCTGAGCCATCCTGGGGCTGAGGGGGAGACAGCCTGGCACTAGCCGCTTTGCCATGTGACCCAGACAAGTCTCCACCGGCCTGGGCCTCAGTCTGCCCATGTGAGAGACGAGCTATCCGAGGGCCCTTCCTCTCCAGGTGTCCCTGTGAGGTGTCTCTGACTGGGTGACGCGGGGTGACCCCTCCACACAGGCCCTTCTGAGCAGGACCATGTCCCTGCCACCGTCCCCACACCCTCCGAGCCAGCTGAAGGGGAACAATGCTACCGAGCGCCTGCCTGCGCCTGGCTGGGGGTTCTAGGGCAGGAGGCCTTCCTGAGTGCGGAAGTCCAGGCAGGGCTGGGAGAAGGCCACTCACATGTAGGATGCATCTGATCCGTGTCTGCTTCCTGCAGGAGGAGGCGGAATTAGGCCCATGCTCCTAGGGGTGGCCCCCACTGCAGCCCCAACCCCCGGAGCCCACCTACCTTTGATGAAGTTCAGGTACCTTGGTGATGCAGAATCTGGAAGGAAGGCCAAGGGTTTCCTACCTTCACACCTTTGCACCTGCTCGTTCCCCTCCCCCACTAGGTCAATCCCCTCAGGCCGCCCAGCCTGGCCTAGATGTCTCCTGCAAAGGCCTCCCTGTCAGGCCTGGCTGCCCTGCCTCCCCTCCCCCACACCTCCCCTGCACGTGCGCACAGTACCTGTCCCGCCAGGTAAACATCTGTCTCCGTCCCACCTCACCCCTGCCCCGCACCTGTGTATGAGGCTCACTCACCCTCGAGGCTGGGGGAGAACTGCAGCAGCTTATCCTTCCTGCAAGGGAGGGGTGCAGTGAGACAAGGACTGAGGGAGGGGCTGGAGGTGGGAGGGGGATGGCTCTAGGGCAGCAGTTCTCAACCTGTGGGTCGTGACCCCTTTGGCGGTCAAATGATCCTTTCACAGGGGTCGCCTAAGACCATCCAGCATATCAGATATTTACATTACAATTCATAACAGTAGTAACATTACAGTTATGAAGTAGCAACGAAAATAATTTTATGGTTGGGTCACAACATGAGGAACTGTTTTTAAAGGGCCAGGAGGTTGAGAACCACTGCTCTAGGGTTTGGGGGGATTTGAAGGCCACAGCCCTGCAGCCTCCTGGATGGAGGGGGGCCCTTCTCTGTCAGGCACTGGAACTCTGAGGTCTGAGGAGGAAGTAAGGTCTTGGCCTGGGCTCAGCCAGGTGGGGACCCCAGCGTCCTCCTCACCACTTCCTGTGGGGGCTGTGACCCCTCTGGGTCCAGGCCAAGGGGCTCATTCCTACCTTGTTGGTGCCAGGTTAGAGGCTGTGTCCATCAGGGGCCTGGCCACTGCAAAGGACGAGGGGGTGTTAGCTGGACCCCAAGGCCAGCTTTCCAGTGTAGCTCCCTCACCCCTTCATCCTACCAGATCGGGCATGGCCACCCCTTCAGGACGAAGGGAGTTTGATATGTCCTCCCTCCCCCCAATCCCTGAGCCCAGCCCCTGGACCCTTCTGTTTGGGACTCACAGGAATAGGTCCCGGTCACTGCAAAGCTCTGTTGATTCTCTTGCCTGGAAACACAGGGACTGTTTTGAGCTAGGGCCTGGCCCCCCACAGCCCAAGGGACAGAGAGGCAGGAGAGATGGACAGAGGGGGACAAGGAACAGAGAGGAGGCACATAGTAGGGCAAGGGTGAGGAGAAGGAGCTGCTTGCCACCCCTCCAGCTCTCAGAGCCAGAGCCCTGCCCACTGGGTGCCCACCCTTTTCACATGGCCCTGGCCTAGAGTCAGCTGCCAGAAAAACCCATTTCTCAACATGGGGTACCCAGGAACCCCCAGAGGTGGCCAGGAGGGTCTGTGGGCAGGCATCTAGTCCATGTCCCTTCTTCCTTTGAAGCACAACCCTGACTTTTGTGTAGCCAGCAGCAGGCCCACCTAAAAGACTGTATATCACGGCCTCCCTTGCACCTACTTGTGGCCACGTGATAAAGCTCTGGTCAGTGAAATGCAAGCCAAGGTTGTTGGGAGTTCCAGGAAAGCTCCTTAAAGGACTCACTGACAACTGGGCACAGCCTTTTTGTCCTCCTCCTTCATTCTTACTACGACCTGGAATGCAGAGATAAGGGCTGGAGCCCTAGCTGCCATTTGGGACCATGAAGTGCCTTTGAGAATGGAAGCCACCAGGGAAGGATGGTGAACAGATCAGCTAATCATTAAAGCATTTTGGCGTCTCCCCTGAATTAATATGGGTGCCTGGCCCAGCCTTCTAGGAGCTCCTGGGGTGCTGAGGGTCGGGGTGACGTGATTTAGGGAGGATGCTCTGTCTAAATCCACAGGAGAGAACCAGGCATGGCTTCCCGGAGGAAGTGATGCAGGAGCTGGGCCTGGCACACATAGGCTGGCAGGACTGAACCCCAGTGAGGTGGGGAAACCCAAGCTCTCCTCCCACCTCCTCCCACGATTTCCCCACCTCTACACGAGGAGGTTTAGTCTACAGTCTAAGATCAGTTAGGGGCCTTGAGTGGGCAGGGGCTGTGGGGTGGGGGGAGCGGAGAGGGGAGATTCTGAGGAGGCCTGCCTGGGGGCAGGAGTGTAGGGGCACCTGGGAGCCCAGCCCACTCCTGGTGGAGGCCGTGGGCTAGCGATCTAGACAGCCAAGCGGCCAAAGATGCCTGGAGAGATCCAGTCCTGCCCCCCGGGGTGGGCCTGGACGGGGAAATTCTATTTTCAAATCTCATTGTGGTTTTTCAGTTGCAAAAGGAAATGAGAAAGGGCGTGTGTGCCCATCTGTGCGTGAGTAGCCACCTGAGTGTGCATACAGTGCTGCATGTGTGAGAAGTGCACGCCTGAGCAAGTGTGCAGGGAGCGTGTGGGTGTGCGTGGGCGTTCACACGCAAGCCCTCCATCAAGTCACCCTCCTGCTCAACGTCAGGATGCCAATGGCCGCTGCCCCTGCCTGGGGCTGTCCGAGGGTGGCCCCCTGGTTTGCAAGGTCTGGCACAGCTGACCCTCCCAGCGCTCACGGAGCGGCCCACCTGCCCTCAAAGTGCCTGGAGCTCCATCTCCCAGCCCCACCAGTCCGCTGGGCTCACTGACCCCATTGCATCTCTGCCCCACCTCCCTCCTTCCTGCTGCACAGGAGCCCCTGCTTCCAGCTCTTCTGTGGCCCCCTTGGTCCTTAGAACGAAGGCCAAGGCCTCTCCCACAGTCAAGGCCTCATCCAGCTCATTTCCCCCGAGACACACGGTACCTGCCACCTCACCCCTGCAAGACAGTGTCCACCTGGTCCTCTGTCAGCGACTGCCCACACTGTTCTCTCTCCCTCTAGAATATCCCCTTTGGCCTTTTTTTCTCTTAAAATCTTTCCCACCAAATGCAGGCTGGTGCAGCCACTGTGGAGAACAGAATGGAGCTTCCTCAAAAAACTAAAAATGGAACTCCCATTTGACCCAGTGATCCCACTTCTAGGAGTATATCCCAAGAAAACAGAAACACCAATCAGAAAGGATATATGCACCCCTATGTTCACAGCA